AAAAAAAAAAAAAAAAAAAAAAAAAAAAAAAGAAAAATTAAAATTTCAAATGAAATTTAACGTTGCGCGCGCCGCATACCGCAATACAGAAACGAAAACGATAGATGAGGCGGTAGTCAAGGATGATTAACGAATGGGGAAAACCAAGGAACATCCAGGAAACGTAAAGCGTTGCGGAAACGGTCGCGTGGGAGTAGCCGGTCTCGTAGAGGATATTACGCAGTAATAAGAGCAAGAGTCACGCGAGCACCCACGAGAAGGAAAATTTACGACGGCATTACGGAAAGGCATCGTCCACTTTGATCTCACGGTTGGCGCCACAACGAAATTTCGTTTGTTTGCGACGCGGTTACATTCGGTTAGGTTGAAATCGGTCGATTCCGGGTTTTTTATTGCGAGAAACGGTGAAACGAAACGCGAAACCATAACCTAGCACACAGAACTATGCACGAGCGCGTTCACGAGCGGCCTCGTGACTTACACGTCACGCTGAATGATCGGTCTGTACTAGTCAAGGCCAACTTTCAATTGCTACGTTTACGAAGCTGCTAGAAATGCCGATAAACGAACAGTGTAGTAGCTGTTTCGTCGGAAAAACGAAGTGGAAGGAGTGTATATGGTGTTAGGTTAGGTTAGGTTGATTTTTTTTTTTGATTTTGTTTGAATAATAATGATTTTGAATAGTTTTATGTTTTCGGATAGGATATTATATTTTTGTCGTTAAAAAGGAAAAGATTTACAAGAGAATATTTTAATTTTGGTGAAATAATAAATTCAATATATACACAATAATCAATAATATTGCTTGAATATTGCAATTGTTAGATAATTAATATAATAATTCTAATACTTGTATTCTAAACTAGCTGTATCGTAGATATCTAATCTAAAATTCTTCGAGATTCTGTGTGATTTCATGGTAAAACAATCTCGTATAACAATCCGCCATGTTCTAACAATTATTTTTGAATCGATAAATAATCACTTTGTTATATCATCCGATTTACTATGCGTTACATTCAGCTGATGGAAAAATTTAAATTTTTGTCATTGCATCCAATACTCTTGGAAGTTTTTAAAGAACAGAGTGTTTATTACTATTATTATTATTTTTTTAATCGTACAACGAAAGATGTAATCACATAGTATCAACAAATGGATTATTTTTCAGCTTTGAACCATTTAATTTCCTTTACAAATATTTGTTCTAGAATCATTTAATATTTTATATGACGATACTTATATATACTTTGAAATAGCGAATCTTATTAACAGCTCGTAAAAGAGTCAACAACAAGCAATTACCTACAACAATATATAATAAATTCAAAAATTATTAAAAAACTTGTATAAAAATCACCAATCCAATACGAAAAAAAAAAAAAAATTCATTTCATTCGTTATCGTTATCAGTATGACCGAGAAAACTTTCTTTTCGATTATCTCAAAGATATAAATTTACATGCCAATTAAAAATCGTGGAAAAATATATTTCTCTTTTATAAATAAATATAAAAAAAGAGAGAGAGAGAGAGAGAAAAAGAGAGAAAAAATACCGCGTAAATCACGAAATGCGTATTGTGTCTCGAATAAACGTCATAAACGGGATCATAAAATTCCCCCCCTACCCCCAACTTTCTCATCACGACGCAAGAAATAACGAATTACGTGACCCCGTCCGT